TGACGGATTTTTTTGTCATCCCTACATGAAAGTTGAAAAAGAAGTCATTTTAGAAATTTCCTCAATAGACTTGGACAAATAGATACAAAACCACGGCACGTAGAAATTTCCTCAATAGACTTGGACAAATAGATACAAAACCACGGCACGCCCACGAAATCTGTACCCGTTAAAACCAGTGGGAAACCCATCGAAATTTTGCCACTAACAGATAAAAAACACGTGTTAAGAGTCCTGAAGTCCATGAACCCAACTCTACTGACACAGTTATTTTGTTTTTTTATTTGAATCGTCACAGTCCACAACAAAAAATAAAACCTAAACCCACTCTTGCAAGATTTTGGTTTTTGCCACCCGAATAAACCGAGATTTTGGTGAAAACGAAAGCATTTTTTGATGGACCCTAGAGAATTTCTTATTTTTTCTCTGTGTTTTCTGTTTCTTTTATCGAATCTTTCTCATTCCGCTGCCCGAGTTTATGGGGGGTATGTCGCTCTTTTTGTATGTAAATCTGTTCCTATTTACATGTATACGTATTCTTGATCATGTCTGATTTTTTATTTTTTCCGTTTTGTGGATTGTATCAGAAAAGAATCGGTGATGAAATTGACAACGGGTACCTCTTCTGTTCCGTTGGATCCAACACGGGTGACCCAAATCTCTTGGCGTCCCAGGTTCTATTTTGTTTCTGTTTAAAGTTTTCCCTTTTTACTTTCAACATGGTATGAATCCAATGTGTTTGATCGAGGATGTTATGATTTTAATGGTGATTGAAATTCTACAGGGCTTTTATATACAGGGGATTTTTGACTGATAAGGAGTGTGATCATCTTATCACTCTGGTTAGCCCTTTTTTCCTTTTATTAATTTGTTGGTTGTGATTTATCAGATTTAATGAAAAATGGAAATGTGGGAAATTGGAGAAAGAATTAAACCCTTTATGAATAATTTAGATAAACTGGATCCTTGTGGCAAGAGGAGTTTTTTATTTTATTTTTTCCCCCTCATTGGACAAATAGTCAATTATTAAGTTGTTAATTAATTCATAATTTTGAGGAGGGGAAGGAAGGGTTAATATCTTCATTTGTTTGATCTCCTTCTGATTGAATTTGGATGAGCAGGCAAAGGATAAGCTCGAAAAGTCTATGGTAGCAGACAATGATTCTGGAAAGAGTATAGAAAGTGAAGTCCGCACAAGTTCTGGCATGTTTCTTAAGAAGGCTCAGGTCAGTGAAAAATCCTATTCCAATATTTTTCTTTTTTCGACTTTGAGCCCTGTTTTGTCAATTTTTTCAAGATTTATATGGTTTATATTTATATTATTGTCCGGATATTCGGATGCTTGTGAGTACTTAGTTTATGGATGTATCAACTTGTTTCTGCCTGTTAATTACGTGGAAATGGATGCTCTAAGGTTGGTGGCATGTGTTTTATATTATACTCTAATTTGTGATTGTTATACTGTGGAAGGGGATGCTATCTGAAAAGCAACTCACTTCCATTGAAGTTGTGTTGCCATCATTTGTAAACTAAAAAAAGGATTTGTTTCACAACAATTCTAGTCACATTTTATGTTGGAACGACCACAAATATAGGTTTGCAATGCAATTCTTAGAAGTATTTAATTATTGATGGGCATGTAATGTAATGCATTCCTAATCCAATGAATCAACGAGAAGCGAACTTTGACAATGTGGCATGTCATATCCTTTTTGGTGGAACCTTCATTGACAGGTAGTTTCTATGTTCCTCTCACCATATGGTAGTCTTGTATAGAATTGCCTGTTAGCCTTGGGGTTGGATATGCATTGTGAGCAAAGTAGAATTACCCTACTAGTAGTTCCTAAATCCAGAAGTCTGAGATTTGCGCAAACCAACTCAAATTATTTCATTAAAATGCAGTAGAAAATGGCTTTTATCAATGCATGAATTAAGAATCTTATTTGACTTTCCCATTTTAAAAGGCATGTATAAGTCACAAGTACAAAATAAAAATAAAAATATCCTCTATCTTTGAGATACTCTTTCAAATGGTGACATTAGCTTGTTCAATATCTAAGCTAGGAAAGAATAATTGTATAGCATTCCAGACCTAATTAAATCTTGTAATGCCCTTATGTATACATTCTTGAGGTGTGTGACTAGTGCAAAAGATTGCCACTTGGTCTTATATCCTGGGTCAGCAGGTGTTGATCGTGGTCATATTTGTGATTTTGATAATCTTTTGTCCAGGATATTTGTTGATGAACAAGATATATGATCTTTTACATTATTGATTTATTCTATAGCCTATTTGTGATAACCATTTCTTTGACCTCTTTAACACAGAACTTTCTGGGTGCTTTAGGATTGGTATCTTTACAGATCCTTGTCTTTCTAGTTCATTTTTTTTAATTAGTGGAGCCTTTTAGACATTGTTGCTGTTATAAATTCACTTCTATACATTGATTTTACCCATCGTGGGCTCCTGGGGAAAATAATATAGTGTGAAAGAGAGTGGCATTTCAGGTTGCATTCTCAAAAGAGCCGTGGAAGACGGAAAACCAGTGGTCATATTACATATAGCCTGCCAACTTTATATCATTTGTTGAATAATTTTACATGTATCTTAACATTTATGTTGTAGGTGGTGTTATTGTTCATAGTCTCTCTCAGAGGTGCTAGATGTGCCATAATCAATTAAGCTAGATCTGCTATAATCAATTAAGCCTCTGTTTTTCAAAATTATAAACCATTTATAAATGATCAAACTTCATTTTTAACCACACATTCCGATGGACCACAAGTAGTTTATCCATCTCTCATTTTTAAATCAGTAGCTATTTTTTTGAAGATTTGCTCTATTGGAACATTATAGACAACCTTGCTGCATAACTGCTTTCCCAATTATCTGTCGTAGCAGATGGATGATCATGAGTCAATGCACTAGCTTCTTTTCCATTTATGCATATGCCAAGTTTACATTTCTACGTAACCCAAATGTCCTTGGATATGTTGCAATCGAACAAGCACTACAATTACAATTTATCAGTTTTTAGTTGGGTTTGTTTTTCAATGTATCTGGATTATTCTTTACTGTATATGTTGAAACATATGTTGAAAGAGATTGAAAGGTAAGATAACACCTGGGCGAGACTGTGACTGTTGAAATTTTGATGCAACGCAGAGTGTTTTGCATCCTTAAGTTTATAAATCAGTAGCTATTTGATAGGTCCTTATTATGGCTGAGGCTACAATGGATCAAACTAAGTCTGTTATTCCATTCATATCAGTTAGTTAGTTATCAGGGGTAGTTTGGGGAAAAAGGGGGAAGTAGATAAATATAATAGGAGAGGAAGCATAATCTGGGGGAAATTATTGAGTAGTTGGTTAAGCCAATTAGGAGAGATCCAGCCTCTCGAATGCTTGGAATTGTTCTTTCAATTTCCTGTTTCCCAGTCCATTTCAATTCAATACAATCTTCAATACAATTGTTCTTTGTTTACAAACAATTGCTTCAATCCATCTATACTACATCTCACTCCAACAATTATTATACATCTTACAAATTCACTAACACATCAAGTCCTAGTTCATAGCCACAGATTTACAACAGAAGTTCACCACAGCAGCACCAGCAAATCTTCTATTCAGTTGGTTTGCAGAATTCCAGCTAGAGTAGCCATCAATTGAGCAGCAGAGACTGGGGATCCTTATCAATTGGTATCAGAGCATCGGTCTTAGGGCAATGGCAACAAATTTCAACAAGGAAATTGAAGAGATGGGACACAATATTTAATCGATTGGAAAAGATAAGGCGACTGGAAGGAGATCGAGCAAGGGGTTCTGGACTGGATTCACACGGCCGACTAGAAACATCAATAATTTATGGAGAAGACACAAATCGGTGGGTGTTGGAGGTGGAGAAGATTTTCTCCTGAAATTAGTCATCGGAGGCAGGGAAAATCGAGGCGGCAACAGCATGTTTTCACTAGCAAACATGGAATTGGTTTCAGGAGGTAGATCAACTGCGACCGGTGCGAACATGGGATGAATTGAAGGGATTGAAGTTGGCTCGATTCCTCGAAAATAAGTTCTCTAGTGAAGAAGTGTTGACGAGAAATCATAGGAGTGTGGTAAACTGCGAGACTGTGGTGATATAATGCCCGTGTCAACTGCAGGCGTGGCCGGAACCATCGCCGGATGTGGAGAAGGGATTGGAGCATGCCGTAGAAGGTGTCTTTGTGATTGGGCTGGATCAGGAGATGAAGAAAGGGAAAGCAAGCTTTGTCAAGGGGCTGTTAGAAACGTCTGAAATTCGTATGAACAAACCATTGGGCTTGGTTTCGGAGTTGGCCCAAACAATTGAGGATAATCTCTCTATGGCCCAGATTGGTTGGTCTGCACCTGGCACATTAAAAGGTAAGCCCATATTAACACCAACCCAAGCCAATGCTTCCATTCTTTCCTTCCAGTCACGTTACATCCCCTCTACTACACCCCAAATTTTCTTTCCCAAAAGCGTAGCATCTGTTAGAATCAGTTGTTCCATAAGAACAGGTGTTCCGTCGCAGTCGCCGGAGGTGAAGTATGAGCGGCAAATTGCAAAACTTCCACTGCAGTTGAAGGTTGGTGTTAGAGATGAATCAGAACAAGCATGGGAAGGGAGGTTAACGCAGCTGGAGGTTGTGGTGATGATCCAGTATGGGACTGAACACAAATTTAATTCGAATAGCTGGACTCACAACTTCAAAATTTTGTGCACGGATGCGACTGGTTATGGAGTCTTAATGGACACTATATTAGTTATATTGGGTGTGTTAAATAAGTCTGCCAACTTCCTCGGACCAAGAACCATGATTTTAACATCATCCGTGATTGAGGTACTTGCAAAGGAATTTGTGTGGTTATACGATTAATCGACCGTACAGCCATAGCCTCCACCTTGAGGACAAGGTGGATTTCGGGGGCGTGTAATGATAGGTCCTTATTAAGCCCCCGTTTGGCCCCTATTTTTTTCCATTACATTACATTAATTTTCTCTTTCTTCATTTCAACCACACATTCATCAAATGAAATAATATTACACATAAATCTAAAACTTTTAGTTACTTTTCTACCATACATTCTCTCATCAATCATTATTCCAAAAATTTTCAACACCCTCAAATGGGGGTCAAATGGGGGCTAAGATGGCTGAGGCTACAATGGATCAAACTAAGTCTTTTGTTCCATTCATATCAGTTGGTTAGTTATCAGGGGTAGTTTGGGGAACAAGGGGGGAAGTAGATAAATTAATAGGAGAGGAAGCATAATCTGGGGGAAATTATTGAGTAGTTGGTTAAGCCAATTAGGAGAGATCCAGCCTCTCGAATGCTTGGAATTGTTCTCTCAATTTCCTATTTTCCAGTTCATTTCAATTCAATGCAATCTTCAATACAATTTTTCTTTGTTTACAAACAATTGCAGCAATCCATCTATACTACATCTCACTCCAACAATTATTATACATCTTACAAATTCACTAACACATCAAATCCTAGTTCACAGCCACAGATTTACAGCAGAAGTTCACCACAGCAGCACCAGCAAATCTTCTATTCAGTTGGTTTGCAGAATTCCAGCAAGAGTAGCCATCAATTGAGCAGCAGAGACTGGGGATCCTTATCACTATTCTTCAGAAGATCTACTATATTGGAACACTATAGACAACCTTGCTGCTTTCCCAATTATCTGTCACATAAGATGGATGATCACGAGTCAAATCTCTAGCTTATTTTCCATTTATACGTATGCCAAGTTTACATTTCTACATAACCAAACGTCCTTGGATATGTTGCAATCCAACAAACCTTACAATTACAATTTCTTAGTTTTTAGTTGGGTTTGCTTTTCAATGTGTCTGGATTATTCTTTACAGTCCTCGTACTGTTTCCTTCACCTTGATTCTACCTTTACAATACTTGGCATGCCTATCTACTTGTGACGGGAGACTTGTCATTTCCTAGATTTTTGTATGGGAATTTGCTCTTCTGCTTTATCGAGAAGACCATTGTTCCAATATCATATGTTAAATGTTAAAGACTTCATTTTCATAAGCTATTTTGTACTTGATTACAGCCTGTTGAAGTTTTAATGCATTAAATGTCTTGTCAATTTTCTGTTGAAGGATGAAATAGTTGAGAGTATTGAAGCAAGGATTGCTGCTTGGACCTTCCTCCCTCCAGGTACTGAGGAAGAGTTTCCTTTTATTTTTTGTTTGCTCCATTTTTATTTAACAAAAGCTTATTACTCTGTTTATGGACCTTGCCTTGTAGAGAATGGGGAATCTATTCAAATACTGCATTATGAGCATGGAGAAAAGTATGAGCCGCACTATGATTATTTTCATGATAAGGCCAATCAAAAACTAGGTGGTCATCGGGTGGCTACTGTACTTATGTACTTGTCGAATATTGAAAAGGGTGGAGAAACAGTTTTCCCGAATTCAGAGGTATCTAATACTTCATAATGTTATTGCTTATCCTCGTCTTTTTCTCCTTTGCACACCTAAGATAAAATTTCCTATTCCCTTTTTCCTCTCTCTTATTCTTTTAATTTATATTGCAGGCAACTCAGCCCAAGGGCAGTGACTGGTCTGATTGTGCTAAAAATGGCTATGCAGGTAATATGTTTTTACGGGTTGGCATGTCTTCCTTTTAAACACGACATTCACAATTACTATAATTTCTTCAACACTTCAATCTTCGTTGGTCTATATGGATGGGGTTCTCTCTATTGTCGTTTGATATATTGGACCTTGAATGTGTTTTCCATAGGGCCGATTTTCATTTTTCACGTAGAAAGCAGATAGCACTTTCTGTAACTTATCAGTTAGAAGGGTGACGTCACTTCCTTTCAAGAGATTATTTGAGGCACAAACATGAAAATAAGTGTCTTGCTTGAATCAAGACGACTTGAACTTATGGTAGTAGAATTTTGGATTACATGCATTTACTTTATTCTCTCTTTTACAGTAAAACCCCAGAAGGGTGATGCATTGTTGTTCTTTAGTCTTCACCCCAATGCAACCACTGATGCATTAAGCTTGCACGGGAGCTGTCCTGTGATTGAAGGCGAGAAGTGGTCAGCAACAAAGTGGATTCACGTGAGATCTTTCGATATATCACCTAAGAATTCTGCGAGTGGAGACTGTGTTGACTCGAATCCAAACTGTCCCGTGTGGGCTCTCAAGGGTGAATGCGAGAAAAATTCTTTATATATGGTCGGTTCAGAAGATTATATGGGTCATTGTAGGAAGAGCTGCAAGGTGTGCTCGTCGTAGCAACTTTTTTTTCTCACGAATTAACATGTTCGTAAGAGAGCAGACCTTGTCTATTATTAGTGTATATAATGGTTATCTGTGTTTTTACCCTCCCACTAGTTTAGCAGGGAATAAGACTTGAGAGTGAAAAGGGTGTCATTATACTGGGCATGGGGAATGGACGAAAAGAAGACGATACCCCTTCAAATTGTAGTCCCAAGTATCATTTTGATCAATCTTATTAATCCCTGTTTGATGAAAATTATTTGGGAAAAACAATGTATTGAATGGTGAATTTTTGGAGAATGTGTGGTTAAAAAATAGGAAAAAATTTGGGTTTACGTGCATAATATTTTATTGTGCGGATATGTGATTGAAACTGAGTACGTAAAAAAAAAAGAGTTTTGAAATAATGGTTATCAAACATTGGCTTAATCAAGTGTTGACATTAAGATTGTGAGTTCAAGTTTTGCCGTCTTTCATTTGTGAAATGCAATTCTAGGCCACATGTTTTATTAGTCCTCATCAGGTATTTTTCTTCAATTTTAGTCGAGTTAGTTCAATGGATTTGGACAGTTTAAAAATAAAAAAATTCAACCAATGGTTTTTTCTTTTTTTGACAACACTGTAAATGTCTTCCATAGTATAAGAAATGAGTGACAAATGGTCACACATGTCATTAATTTTTATCAAAATCAGACATGAGCTTATTTTTATATAGTTGAGATCGACGGCATAAATCCTCACCTTGTTCGTAATGACTTAATTATGAAACTTAATCAAAGAATAAATCTGACCTATACAATCTAGGAGTGACCTAATAACCGAAAAGGGTTCTAGTATTACTAATAGCACTGTTTTTTGGGGAAATTTATAACTTCAAAAATCTATACCATTTTCCATGGCCATATAATCTTTTTGCATAGAGGAACAGAGCTGCTTCAGTATCCAGCCAATGAACTTACCAGCAGGGGCGGACCCAGCACAAAAGCTCAGTTCAGCCAATGGCGTCGATGACGGCGGATCTTCTCTGGTTAACCGTTGTCAGAATCTTAGCCAATCGGAATAATAAAACAAGTGCAGTAAGAGTAACTATTTCATCAGCCAGAAGTTTCAAGCTTAATTCAATTAGCAAGAAGAGAAAAGTACCAAATGGACTTGATCCCATTCACAATAGGTACGTCAAATTAAGACGCGAAGGATATGTTTGGAACATTGAACCTGTCAGTTATCGTGTTCACAACTCTTTTAATTTTTGCATACCGAACATCGAAGAATGTATGAAAAGTTTAATGATCATGTGCTTTTGATTGTTTTTGCTTCTTTACTCATCGAAGTGACAATGCTTCCTCCATGAAAACAAGGAAGTCTAGAGAGCCATCGGCATGTTTTGTACATAAGATTGGACTATATAATTATGTTATCAAATTGCTCATACGTGGTCTTGTTAGAATTTGTGTAGATTGAAGTTTTTCATATACAATCCTGCTCAAGAACTTCTTGATCGAATTTTTAAGGTTTCATGTATTGTTGTTCCGGGAAATATCAGAGCTAGGTCTTCTTGTTCATGTAAAACAGTTCTTGAGCTCTGAATGCCTTCTTCCTTTCAAATCGCAAATGCAATCCCCAATCAATTGCATCGTGTTCTTCTATAGGGAAGTTTAAGTTAGTTTTTATATTTTATTTAAAAATTAAATTAAATAAATAAAATTTTCAGTATATTTTATTTGTAATATTATCGATGGGTAAGTTAGTTTTTATCCTCTATTTCATCTTTAATGAACTTATTTTAATTAGTATATATATTATATGTGTAAATCAAATGGGAAACGATAATATCATAAATTGTCCCAATTTGATGGAAATTATAATTTAGATTTTTGTCAAAATTAAAGTCAACAATTAATTTTATTCACATATTTCATGATATCCACAACTTTTAATCACACATTTATTGACTTTTATTAAAATATGCTAAATCTTTGATTTTAATCTTCATTAAACAAAAACATTATATAATCTATGATTATCAATAGTTATTTGATTGCTAATTATCGATGAAGAAACCATTGATGTTACTGACCCAAGATTCTCTCTTTTTATCGAGTAACTATTAATAATCGTTGATAATATAACTGATGATATTATCATCATTCATTTGATTTACATATATATAATACATACTAATAAATTCATTGGAAATGAAATAGACGATAAAAAATTAACTCATATGTATGTAAATAGTATTATAAATAAAAAATAAAAGAAAAAAAATATTTATTTAATTTTTTAACTAAAATATAAAAATTAACTTATACGTTCATTTAATTTTTTAATTATTTAATTGGAATTCGGTTGTATATTTTTTTTAAAAAAAATTGGGACTACAATTACAATTAATTTTTTATTTTGTTTCTTTTATTTTTATCTCATTTAAAGACTAGGGTATATTTGTATATTATTGTATATGGTTTACAATTTGATGCCCCCAGGGCACATCTCAAAGTGGTAAAAGGAGAATGTAGAAAAATTCCAACTTTGCTTGAGGCTGCCGTGTCAAGAGTTCAAATCCTGAAATATGGATTTGGCCCTTGAATAAATGCAAGTGTACAAGTAACCTTTCATCCTGTATCCTTGGAGGCATAACCTGCGATTTACCTCCTTCACCAAGGCTCAGGACAGGGCAGGTGGAGGTCGCTAAGGATGCGGTTCATCTTTTTTGGTTTAGAAATTGATAATGTGGAAGAGAGAGAGAATAAAATGAGCCAATATTCATCAATCTGTACACAATTATGCATAAGTGGTATTCTTCTTAAAATTTAAAGGTGGGGTCGACATGGATTTTCAGAGTGGTTGAATATTTTTGGATCTCAATTTAATTAGTGGGGGCGGCTTGGGCCTCAACGAGGACAGATGGGCATGACAACGTTTCAAGGAAATTTGATGTGGTCGCGTCCCACATCGGCTGGAGGAAAATTAATAAACGGCTTTATATTCAGAATATAATTTTACTCGTTTAACTTCGCCACGAAACGAAGTGAATGGGGTAGAAATCCTGCGTCAAGTAGGATTAATCCCCAGGAAAGTCCCCGGGCCACAATTTGCAGAGATGCAACCCCAGAAATGGGTGGCCTCCGTGCTCATGGGCAATATTGCCATAGTGCAACGGGCTGAGACGTGTGTGGAGCCCCTATTGCCCGAGCCGGAGTTCTTTGGCCGATATCACAGTCATTCACTTGGTCCTATCCTAATTCGACTAACTGAACGGGGCTTACGATTTCGTGGTGCTATATTTTTTTCTTTTCTTCTTTCTTAAACAAATTCTGACCTGTGGAGTAATTTGGCCAATTATAACTCACTTAACTCGTTAATGCAGGATTGAGTAAGAAAATTAATAAATTTTCTAGTACAGCAAATATGATAAAGGAAAGAGCATGTTACACACATTTAAAACCACAGTAACTTCACTTGACAAAAAATTCAGTCAAACTGAATGTTTCGATAAAATTATCAATTTATTTATACAGATATACCCAGCAAATATGGACTGCGGTTCCAAAAGCCAATCAAAATGAGCAGTTTGAAGAAATATGGTCGAGAAATTTGTTCGCCATTTAGCTGTGCATCTCACTCAAGACTTCAGTTTCCCAAGTCAAACGGGACTAGTGGTCTCTTGTTTCCCAAATAGTAAGGGAAATTCATCATAATGATCGGAGAAACCTTGTTCCTCAGCCATGCTCTTCAGTGATCCATAGACCTGATACATGGACCACCTATCCTTTGGGCGAGAAACCACACAATTACATGCAATTTTTAAGAACCTTACAATTTCCTCATCATGCCCCTTTCCGCATAGGCGCTTATCAATACCATCTTTAATTCGACCAGAATTAGAGAGCATAATTACCCAGTCGACTAAATTACCCTTAAAACCTTCATCGGCAGTGCTCACACCAAGAGGTTTCTGCCCAGTAGCTAACTCAAGCAGCACTACTCCCAAACTATAAGAATCTCCTTTAAGTGAAGCAACCATTGTACTTGAGTACTCAGGTGCTACATATCCAAATTCACCTAAATCGCCATGGACAAAGCTACTCTCATTAGATTCGGAAGTAGTCATGAGTCTTGCCAATCCAAAGTCCATTATCCGTGCATCCAAATCCTCATCAAGAAGAATCACGTTTGAGCTAATATTCTGGTGCAAGATCGGAGGGTGGCAACCATGGTGAAGCCAAGCAAGCCCCCTCGAAGCACCCAATCCAATCCTAAACCTCGTTGGCCAATCCAACAAATCTGCATTCCTGTTCAACATGGAACCCAGAGTCCCATTTGACAAATGCTTGTAAACCAAAAGCTTCTCCTCCTCCACTACACAAAACCCCAAAAGTGGAACCAAATTTGGATGCCTTAGCTGCCCTAACCTATTCATCTCCATCCGAAACTGCTTTTCCCCCATCTTACATGTACTAAGCCGCTTAATCACAAGAGCTGATCCATCTGGTAACACCGCCTTGTAAGTAATCCCTGTCCTAGTGGAGACTATAACGTTCTCGGCACTAAAATTACTCGTGGCCGCCAACAAATCAACCAACTTAAGCTTCACTAGTGGTTTCTGGAACAGCATAACCTGAGTAAGCTTGTGAGCCCTCAATATCTCCGCCCACCCACTCCCCTCATCTCTTCCACCAATTCCATAACCTCTCTTTCTTCTCTTACTAGACTTGGTAAAATACCACCACCACAAACCAAAAGCTAACAACAACGAAGCTGCGGCACCAAAAACCCCAGCTGCAATAATAATAGCCAGATTTTTCTTACTCAATCCACCACATTTTCCCAAATGGCCTCCACAAAGCCCACTATTCCCACTCAAATCAAGCTCCAACAAATCATAGTTAAACGAGGGCACCCTCCCAGATAAATCGTTATTGGCAGCTGAAAATTTTTTCAACCTTCCTAAATTAGAGAACTCATAGGGTATATTCCCAGACAATCTGTTATCATCCAAAAACAAATTATTC